AGATTTACTACTTAGAATGCAGCGGCGTACCTTGTGCGAACATTCTGTTTTTGTTTTTTCTCTACTGCTGTTTTTTTCCCTTACATGTCATATTTGAGCAGTATTTTTTTCTATAAACAGTGATGGTAAACAATATAATTATATGCATGTGAGAATGTTTTGTGTGTGCAGAGGAGCATCTGAGTTCCCCCACAATCGGATGAATACTTATAAATTATATACCTATTGTATAATTATTGTATCATTCATGTTATAGACCTGTTTTTTTTATCCCGGACACTATTATTGCTACAAAATATTGTTAAACCTCATGTTGTATACTTTGATATACCTGAGTGAAATAAAGTTATATGTCTGTCTGTCTGTCTGTCTGTCAGGAAAAACATTTGAAAGATAATATATGGCCTTCGCATGCGGAAGGTCGTTAGCTCAAATCCCACAACGGGTGAAACTTTTATTAGGTCCTTGAATTAAATTATTCTATTTTTTTGTTTACTTTTTAATTAATTTATTTTTTATATTTTTTTAATTTGTTAATAATCATTATTTTATATATTTTTCCATGTATTTCATTTACGAGAATGATATAGCTTATAATGTATGGTGGCTGATTTGGAACACTTTGCGCGTTGCGTTGTCAATAGCGACAACACAACCTATATCGTTTTCGCCTTTTCGTCGCACTGACGTCTTGTCGCTTGGCTTATAAGCCAATCCTTTGATTTGAGCGACATCGCGACAACACGCCACACGACAACGGGACGTTTGGCGTGCTTTGCTAGCTACAAGACGGCGCACAAAAACGTTCCAAATCAGCCACCATAGAAATCAACTATATTTCTCAACGGGAATGATTGGAGTGCGGGTAACTGATGCCTGCACTCCAGATGACTTACTGTGCATGTATATGTATACGATTTAACTGTAACACTTTTTCAAACTGGCAGATGGCGCAAGTTTTTTGTAAAATATGGTCAAAGGAAATGCACTTTATGTAATCAAAATGATATTGCCGATGAATTCCACTATATGTTAAATGCCCTTTTTCTGTTTTAGTAGGGGAAGCCTAATTCAAAGTAAATATTTCAATCGACCGAACACACTAAAATTCAAAGAACTGATGCAGTCAATAAGGCGCTGTTAAATGTCGCACTTGCCGCTAAATGTCGCACTTGCCGCTAAATGTCGCACCATTGCCGCTAAATGTCGCAACCGCTGCTAAATATCGCAAACTCATTTGCCGTTAAATGTCGCAATGTTAACGTTAAATGTCGCACGAATTTCCCTTACTGTTAAATGTCGCAACACTACCGTTAAATGTCGCAAGATTTAACTCAAGTTTTATTGTTGTATCAAATTAATCAAATCTGCCGACTCAAGACGAATTTTGTCTGTTTGAAAGCGAGTGAATTTATTATATATGGAACTGCGTTTCAATTTTGGCGACGATAATACTCATCTTGTTAATAATGTATATTGTTTTGCGCTGGATTTTAGCTGAAATTATGCAAGTAAATATTGATAATTATACAATTTTATACTTTTTGTATACTTTGTAACCTGAAGTTGGCAATCTAACAGCCTAAAGTCGGCAGCCTAGTAGCTTAAAGTTAGTGACTTATATTATAAATATGGAAACAATTTTAAATATAGTAAAATCACTATGAAAGGTCTTGCAAGAGCACATACAAATGCATGATTATGGAAAAACGCCTTTACCTTAAGGGCACTGAAATTTGCAGTCTAATAACCTAAAGCTTGCAGTCTAGGAGCCTGGCAGCCTAAAATTGGTGTCATGTTATAAAAAATGGAACAAGCAAAATAATAAAATGGCATTTTGGATTTTTCCTAAAATCTACTCGTACAAATGGCTTCATAATTTACACATTTATTAATCAATACAATATACTTGATCCTGGCAAGTTACATAATTATTGCATAAATCTTTATCAAATTATTGCCATTTTCAGCAGATTGATAATAAATATCGTGAATCTAAACCGGCAAGATGGATTTTTTTAAGTACTGTCTATACTTATGGCGTCATAATTTCCACACTTACTTATTTAGAGAAAGTTAATGATAAAGGCAAGTTATATAACTCTGACATTCATTTTCCCAAGTTATATTCCTTTTTTCACTTTGAAAATAGGACCTTGTATGGTAAACCTAATACCTTTAATGGCCGTGTATTTTTTGTGGAGTTAGGGGTCTCTAGTGTCAAGGTCACTGGTGAAATTTTTTTATAACATTTTCGCTCATTAAGCCTTGATTGTTAAGTTGTATCATAGTCACATGAGCAAACTCGAATATGGCTGGAAAACTTCTATAGCTGCATGGTAAAGAGTTCGTTTACTTCCAAGTACATGGTGGAAAGTTGCCTACCGTACAACCGCACAAGAGCTAAGTGACAAGTTTTTTGGAATTATTTACTCTCGACGCTATGATAACCGGATAACCGGACCACAAAACATTGCACAACTTACGCCCACCTATATAATTTCGAACACCGGACCAAAAACGTCACAGCATCAATACTAGCTCAATCACATTGCCAAGGGAGGTAATCATTGTAAGGAGTTTGGCGCTCATATAATCTAAGTTACCTTTCATTTTTGTGCGATAAATATAATACATTTTCTTTTCTAAAACTGATTTTATTAAACAATATTCGTATTAGACTATACAAACTAAGTAAGAATACATGGTGATAAAGTGCTTTATGCTCCCTGAAGAAAATCGACTCATCCCGAAACAATTTACATCAAACAACTATCTGTTGACTGGATTGTGCCCTGAAAATTAGAGGAAAAATATCAATACATGTGTACACAATTATATTAAAAGTATCAATTTCTTTATGTACGAAAACTAACCGCTCTTTTAATAAACTTCTGCTAAATCATTATTCTTTATAAATTTTTTGAATATTATTATGGACGAACTACTTATAGAAATGGCGGTCATCTTCACTAGGTTAGTTACCTTTTCTCTGGAATTGTTAAAGCTTTACAATTCCTCGATAAGTATTAAAGCAGCATGCCTCTTGATTCATGCTAATTTTTCATGAACATTTTGAAAATGTACATAAAAGTACATAAAAGTTAAATATTGTGAAGTGAATAAAGACAGTAATTTTCACATTGCAAACGGGACTAACAATTCGCGTAGATTCTAAATTACCATAAGGAAGTCAAAACATTAGAGTATCCTTATTACCTTAAACCCCAGTCACACTAGAGCTTACGATTACTTGCGACCACCGGTGACTTGTTAAACTGACGATCATCAGCGATTGTCTGCGACCAAAACCATTTTTGCACAAATAAATTTACTTTTGCTAGTATCGTAAGACAAGTCATTATTGACAATTGCATGACAGGTCATAAGTAAGCGTACGATGGTCTCAAGATTGCCTGGGATTACTTACGACTACCCGTGACATAACATGCGATCACCTACAACTTGTCGTACGACCATCACACGATTACTAAAGACTAATTAAGATTATCAGTGACTAGTGGCAATTTGTAAAGATTGTCGTAAGATTGTCGCACTTCCGAACGACCATCGTGCGACAGCCTTAAGACCTTATAAGATCACTAGCGACCTGTTTGATCGCAAGGAGGTTTTTGTGCAAGCTCAAAAACCTCTCTACGACTGAAATTGGTCGTGGGACCTAAATAATAACCTGCGACTGTCAAAGATCACCGATGACCGTCGCAAGACGTTTTAAAGATTGTCCGCGACCAGAGGTCACTGGTGATCGTGAACTGGTCTTCACTGGTCGTAAGCTCTAATGTGACTGGGGCTCACGCAGGAGAAATACGGCGATAAAAACTGCACAATCAGTCATAAAGCGCACATATCATGTACATTGTTACTTGAATCTTGAATCTTTTATCTTTTCTCCAAAGTTTGGTGCATTTTCCTCAAGTTTGATTTTCTTAAACTATTTTGGCTCATCTGTGCGCATGCTGCTTTAAACCGATTTAAGGATTTCGGGTAGTGTGCCGCCGTGTTCTGATTACTGTTTATGTCCTGTCCTTGCGATTGATTACTGTTTATGTCCTGTCCTTGCGATATTAAGAAATTTCCAAGCAAAACTATACATGTTTAATTACTGATTTCGTCATAATGCCATAAAAAAAACAACATTTTGACTAACTGACACTGTTATTGGATCAGTCACATCTTACAGGGTAACTTTAACGGACGTCGGTGTATAGAGCGAAATGATCACTGGTACGATACAATCCACGACTATTTTACAGATTTAATCTACGAGTTACGAACATGAAAATGAATTTAACAAACTTCCATCACATGACAAAGTAAATAGTTATAAATAGTTAGTTATATAATGCGTTTAGCGTAGGGAACATCTCCTGTTGAACCGTCGTTACATTAAAACGGTAAGCCCCACATCAAATCTTGTTCACCAATGCAAACTGAACAAAAACTGGACAAGGAACATGCAATTGATGAATGAAACACATGAACCCAACGTTAATTCGGTATTTTGTTTTTAAAAAACTTTTTTTTTGCCCTTTTTTTGGAAAGAAAAAAAAAATTTCCCAGATTAGCGGGCCTCTCTTTTAATATGGCTTTTTGAAAAGATTAAGAATTTAGATGTGATGGAAAAAGGGGAAATTTCGAATTGTCAAATATTCGTCGGTTGTCACAGGCCCAAAATTGCTTAAAATTATTTAAAACTTGAAAATACAAAAAAGGGTTTTCTCTTTGGGCCAAACAATTACTACAGTCAAATTTTGTTCGCTCGACTTCAAAAAGGGTTCCCGCAAATTTGTTAAAGATCGGTGGACAATAAACCGAATTTGAACTTTTACTTTGTTTAATGTATTTATTAAATTTTAAAAAATAAAAAACCCTTTTTAAAATTTTGGGGGCCAAAAACCCAGTAAATACGGAAGGGGGAACATGTGCCTTTTGCAAAAACGGGGGAAAGGGAAAAAGTCCCTTTTAAAAAATAAGTTTGGGACGTCACTTCCGGCAGACACCATAATCTGAAATCAAAAGAAATAAATTGTCCTAACATTTGAACACAAGTTAAAGCAGCTAGACACGTTCGTGGGTAAATTCTTATAACTCAAAGTAGCCCTGTTTGTATACAATATTCTCCCCGTCAACATCGATTCTTTGGTACATTTTCATTTGAGATAATTTAATAAAAGTGCAGCAATTTCTGATGTCGCTGACTGGACGGACGTACATAGCATTGATGAAAGAAACCCAATGCGTTTACAAACTAAATCAAACTACATGTACTCTCGACGGAGTTCTGAAGAAAAAAGAAAAAATTTAAGAAATTAACAAAAGTTCTAAGCATTATGCATTACATAAACAGTGTTTAATATAGACTAACCTGGTCTCTCCAAGATGGATGTGAAGAATGGTGCATCACATCAAAGTTGTCTTTCGGTCTGGCGCTCTGGTCTTCAGTGTCGGCAGCTTGTGCTGAAATGACACCAATAATGATTTAAACGTATTTTTAGTGATGTCTTGCTGGACTACTTTCTTCTTAATTTAGTCAAAAGACAAAATTAAAGTAATCTTTCGTATTGTTATGTCAAAAATAAGGAGAAAATGTACAAATGTATGTAATAAAAAGAAAAATAAAGTTTTGTAAATATATAAATATAGGATTTATTTTCCAACTGTGATATGAAAATTATCATATAGTTCATATCACTCGATGAAAATAAATTATTTTATTCGTTTGTTTGTTTGTTTATTTATTTATTAAATAAATTCATTTATTAATTTCATAATCATATATATTCATTTCAGGTGTGCGATTTCAGACGTGTGTTAAGTTATGACTGTTAACGCGGTCCGTTACTTGCCAAAAAGTCTTGTGCACTACACTATCTCTCATTTATTGTTAAAGCTGCATGCCTCCAGATTCATGATAATATTCATGAAAACCTTTAAAATGTATTTAAAAGTAAAATATTGTGAATCAAATATTAAAGTAATTTACTCATTGCAAACAGTACTTACAATCCACATAAACTACCAAAATAAGCGAAAATATTATTTATTGCGTTAGTACTTAACGCAGTAGAAATAGGTGATAAATACAGTACCTGCATTTAGCATGCATATAGTGATAAATACTGAAATCCAGTCATTAATCGCACATAACATGAGAATTATTACATGGATCTTGAAACTTTTTACTTTTCTTAACATCTTACTCGTAGTCAAGAATGATTCCCTTAAAATATTTAGCTCATCTGGAGGTATGCAGCTTTAAGTACCGAAAAATTGTGTTAACAACGAAAATAATTTCTTACCGAGCAGACAAAGCACAGTCACTGCTACACAAACACGTGTTGCGGCGTTCATGATAAAATTAACACTGAAAAAAAGAAGAATATTAATTACAATTACAGTAAAGTACAAATTTGCAGAGAGGCTGAATTTATTTACAAGCGTAATTTTTTGAAAGAAATGATACTGTTGATGCTATAAGTAGTGCCATTAATTTTGAGAGAGAACCTGTCAGATGCGTATACTGCGAGGAGGACATTTAAAAATAGTTTATTCTTGTTAACATAGACCTTCGGCTCAAAATACGACACCAATACAATTATACAACACACATGAAATTGCAATGAAAATACAATAGGTGAGAAAATATACAGGAATTTGAAATAAACTTGGGCAGTATCATATATAAGATCCCAAAAAATTTCTAATATCTGTATAATGTTATATTTTATGTTTTGGAATGGGCCCCCTATATTTAAATAGGGATTGACCTTTTGTACATGAGCCTGTAAAATTCTATATAGTAAATAAATTTTATTATCTTTAAATGTTTACTTTTAATTTACTTTAAAAACTAATTACTTTGACTTGATATGTTCATTTTTTTTTTCCCATTTAATATGGACCCCAAAGCCTTAATACATGAGGAAATTTTAAAATTTTAAATTATATTAATAAACTAAAGTTGTTTGCTGCAGGGAAAAATTTAAAATAAAAAGATATGTCTTTTTAAAAAAATCACCTAGAAGTACAAAAATTTAAAATAAATCGGATTTTTTATATTCAAAGAAATCCCAACACTTTATATTTACTTTTCTACAAGATATGCGAGGAAATGAGAAAAATAAACTCGGTCGAGCTCTGCAGGATACTGGTCTATTTTTAGAACTTTTGGCATCATCATATAGTATAGCTCATGCAAGGTTCAAAAAGTTCTCATAACTTTATAAACGTTTTATTAAACTTTTTTTTTGAACATAAAAAACATTTCATTCTGTGCAAAAATTTTTTGTCCGTATTATTATAGTAAGAATCATATACGGGAAATGAAATATTATTTTATTTAAATTTAGATATTTTCTATACTTGAGAAAGTCAAAGTAAGTAGTACCTATAGCGAGTCTTCACTGACCAGTGGTTGATAAATTGTTTTGATTGCTGGAGAGAACATGCTATCCGTAACCATACCAACGATACTATTGATTACGTAAATGTCTAGTAATTTGTAACATCATGCTGGCGGGATATACGAGAGTATAAGATAGGTATCTATGACCACATGTGCCTGCCAAAAGTCTCGTGGATCTAAGATGGTTATATTCTCCCGTATACCCCAAAATTAACCTATAAATCGAATCTATATTTCATTTACAAAATGTTCGTGAATTTACGCAAGGCTTCCAAGTACATACGGACCCCTAAGGTCACATTTTCGACACTTTTTTCCCGGCATTTAATTCGTTTTTACGAAATATTAATTCGTAATTACGAAATATGAATTCGTTTTCACGAAATAATAATTCGTCTTTTACGAAATATTACATTTGTAATTCGTTTTTACGAAATATTAATTCGTAATAACGAATTATTAATTCGTAATTACAAAATTTTAATTCGTAATTACGAAATATTTATTCGTTTTTACGAAATAATAATTCGCTTTTACAAAATATTTATTCGTTTTTACGAAATCTTGTTTAAGGTCATTGTGAGATTGACAAAAAACCTACGGGGTCATTTACAAGCATAGATCAACCTTGCGATTATAAGTCGAATGATTCAAACGTTATTATATTTAAGTGATCAGGGTTTTTGAGTGAGACCTACCGTAAATATCCTCTTTTTTCCCCCATTTCCAAAAACATGTTCCCATCAGCAATGTTTTAATTTTTGAGGCTATCAATCTTTTCTGACATGTTTCTTTAAAAAAAACATGCTATACACTCTTCCAAATAAGCGGGTCGCAAATTACCTCCCTTTGAGTGACGTCAAATGAGGACTCCAGCAAAATATGGCGAAGCTGTCATAAAAACTCGGAAACAGGGCAATTGGAAATTCTTGTAGGTAGTATTACGACTTATATCAATTGTTTTTGACAGTACTCGATTGTTATCCAGATAGTAATTTTATTTTCGGTTTTATATCGAATCGCGTTCTAACGCCCTGAAAACATTATGAATGTCACATGTTTTCGCGAATGGACATGTAAATAAAAAAAAAATCCCGAATTACGCTCTTTGGATCGTTTGTGTGAATTTTTACTATTGATAGAAATAGAATATTTTAAAAACCCATTGCAGTAGGCCCTTGTATAAAATTATTGATCGAAGAAAAAGTGCTACACCAAATCTATTTCAATTGTTTTTGTAGGCTGATTCAAAATGGACCTAGACCATAGCTTAACCACAATACTTGTTAATTTCTTTCTGAAGAATCAGAATAGATCTAAATTTTGCCACACCAATTATTAAATTACCTTACCAAAGTCCAAATCAGTGCAGAAATCTGCTTCGGCGAATCCACTTTACATTCTGGGCATTGGTGTATGGAAACCTTTCATGGTTGTCGTTAAAAACAAAGTTTCCTAAAACCGCAACCAAGGAAGGTCCTCGATACACCCGGCTGGTCACCGTACCGGGGTTTCCCCCAAGATGTTACCGTCGAAGCAGTTTCTGCTTGGATTTTAGAAGTTTCGTTTACGAAACAGACGAATTAGAGGGTTCCGAACTATTTGCGCAGGTAGGTAAATAGAAAACTATTGTTGCATGGGTTATTGTTTCATTGCGGTTTATTTTGTACCTCCCCCTTTTAAAATTTGATATTTTTACCACGTGGGAATTTGGAATGTTGCGACATCTCGTTACGAAAGCTAGCAATTTTGTGACAGAAGTGAAGGTTTTGGGAATAAATTTCGTAAAACGGGCTGAGGGAATCAAAATAGAGTTAGGTGTATATCAATTGTGGAATATTATTAAGCTATGCAACGCAGTATTATAATTTTTGGAAAAAAAAAATTTTTTTTATTTTAATTAAAAATGGAAAATCTCTCCCGCAATGAATTTGAGGGTGATGGAAAATTTCTCTATTTACCGAGTTAATGGCCCCTTGTCTATTATTTATATACATATTTTATAAAGTTTATGACTAAAATCTCATTTTTTAAGGGTCACATCAAGCAGTATATACCATCCAAAACACTGTGTGGGCCCCCTGTGAGCAGAAAAGGCTGTCTGGGCTAATAGGGCCAAAGTTCGTATAACATTCAGTTTGAAAAAGGATTCTACATATGCCTAAAAAAAATGGCCATGTCTTAGGTTTTAATTCAGCTGAAAACTTATTGAATATGCTTAAAGGCTGTCACAAAGTGATTTAGTTGTTTATTTGGAAAGACTACCAAATCTGCAGCGATTTTCTTTTATTCCATGCAAAAAAGACTTGGATAAAGGCTGATCCAAAAATTGTGGCCACGATATTTGGCTTAAACCCAGATATCTACCCAACTATTTTCTATTTAATTAAAAGTACAGTTTTTCTCAAATGAGCCCAAAAATGTTACTAGTTCTATGGGTGGGTTACCATTCTTTTAAAGTGGACATGTGCAGCCGTTCTGTTCTATGACGCAAAGGTTTAGAGGAGTAGCTGAAGTGTTGCCAACGCCAGCGACAGGGATACAAAAAAACAACAATTGAAAAAAACAGTGAGAAAAATGGTTCAAAATCCCACAACCAAGTGCACCTGTATGGCAGGATAAGGTTCATAAGAATTACTTTACACTTACTCTGATTTATCTGGATTTTGGAGGATCATTGGGGATTGCTTGGATGCAGGAATTTTGTCGGAATGCAAACCCGCGATTAGGAGGCTTTTTAGGGACTGGTTGGATTACTGATAGAGATTTTTGGGGGTTCATGACACAGGTCAAATATAATAAAAAACGAAAAGAGTAAAAAAAAAAACCGAAAGAATTAACATTTTTCTAGAAAATTAAAAAAAAGGGGGAGGGGCTTTCTTCTCCTGTTATTTCGGAGCGGAAATGTTGCACAATCATTAAAATTGACATGATTTTTTTTTTATTCAAATAGTCATATTCTTTCATTAACAGGTGTACATTTTAATTTTTTATGTTAAAACCTAATTTATTTTCCGTTTAAAAATTTATCAGAGCTTTTCTGTGG